TATAAATTATCCGATAAAACATAAACAGACTACACGTAGTAAATTACTAACTAAAAGAAATACGTATTTCTTAAAATCTGCCAGTTTACGAATAAATCGTCTTTAGCTCTCTTTTTTCTAAACTGTCAGCTGACGTTAGATCGCCTCTGACAATATTTATTAAAAATTGTTAGCTGACGTTAGATCGCCTCTGACAATATTTTTTAAAATCTGCCAGTCCACGAATAAATCGTCTTTAGCTCTCTTTTTTCTAAACTGTCAGCTCACGTTAGATCGCCTCTGACTATATTTATTAAAAATTGTTAGCTGACGTTAGATCGTCTCTGGCTTTTGAATTCTAAATTGCCAATCCACGAGAAAACCGCCTCTGGCTTGTCTTATTCTGTATTGCCAGTCCACGAGAAAACCACCTCTGGCTTGTCTTATTCTGTATTGCCAGTCCACGAGAAAACCGCCTCTGGCTTGTCTTATTCTTTATTGTAAGATATTTTTATTACGTCATATGCTGTATATATATAATGTATATTATGTGCTATATTATCTATATTCATATCAAAATATCTTTTTAAAATGACATTATTTTGTATACTCTTTTTACAATAAATGTATATGATATATGCCATATTTTTTATTTCTAAAGCATGAAATATAAAGATATTTTTAATTTCTTGTGCCTATCATTTGTAAAAAAATCTTGATAAAAGAAACAACATTAATTTTGCGACTTGCAATAATCTGTTTCAATATATGCTTCTTTTAAATACTTACAATTAGCCTTATTTTACGTGATTAACTTGGTATTTAAAATACGTATCAAAATCGAAAATGTATTTCTATTACAGTAGAAAAGAAACATTCTTGTCTTACAACACAGAGAAATGGCAAAATATAATATTGTCTAAAGTATAGTCCAATAAAAACTGTTAAAATTGAACATTTTATAAAACCACTGTGATTTATGAAAAATCAGAACTATCATTTTAAAAATATAGACATATTTCGACTGTGTGTTTTAAACTGCACTACACATTCAAAAATCAGAAAATAATTTTATTTCTGCAAAGTTGTGCATAATGTCAGTGGAAAAGTGATTTATTTGTTATTGCATATACATGATATTTTACCATTCTTCTATGGTGTAAGATTACAATGTTTTTTTTTTACTGAATTAGAAATTAATTTTATATTTTGATGCGTATTTTAGATACCAAGGTAAACGCATAAAATAAGACTAATTGTAAGTATTTAAAAGAAGTATATATTGAAACAGATTATTGCAAGTCAAAAAATTAATGTTTTTTTTTATGAAGATTTTTTTACAAATGATACATACAAGAAACTAAAAATACCTTTATATTTCATGCTTTATAAAGTTATATGACATATACATTTATTATAAAAATATATACAATATACAAAATGATATTAACTTTTTACATAGATACTTTGATGTGAATATATATAATATTGAGCATATAATATACATAATATATACACATGAAGCAGATAAATAAAAGTATTTTACAGAAATTAAAATATGAATGTATGTAACTAAATAATGTAAATGTTTGCAAAAATGTTGCAAAATTTATGTATAATATATACACTTTTTTTATCCTTCAGAATGCCTTCAACCCATTTTCTTCAGCCGGGTTTCCTAGCACATAACACACACACACGACTAACGCACACATAACTAACACACACATAACTAACCTTAAAGATTCTGATGTATATGACAGATAGCACTAAGAACTGTATAGCGCCTCTATGTCAAAATCCGGGAACTAATCTGCTGCTCTTTTTAACCTTATTATCGTCTATATTGCTCGCATCCTTTGCATAATTGTAATTCGCGACGCATTTTAAAATTACATCTCTGAACTCAATTTGAAAGGTTTCCTGTTAATCTTTGATATACTCTTTTTCGGCCAGCACACTCGTTTTGCATGTACAAACTGTATAATTTTTATAAAAATAAATATTTATATGCATCGACAGCTTGTCGGTAAAATTTCCAAATTTTTTCTTTTTTCGTTTTAAAACTAGTGCTTGCCGATGTATTAGAGTGTGTACTTTAATCACATAAAAGGATTTGTAATTCTATTGAAGCAATAAAAAATGCCGTGTTAATTACAAAATTGAAACTCGATCGGTAAGAAAGTGTAAATTCAGCATCCTCTTAAATGGCGCATTAGACAAAAATATTAGTGTGACCTTGGCTATTAAGGTCACGTAAAATCATCTTGAATTTTTAAAATGGAACTCCCTATTTTTTATTGCATATTCTTGTAGTCAATCTCAAGAGCTTTTCAAAACGCTATAATAAAGTTATTTTTCATTAAGAACTTTTCGAGTTATGAGGCTTGAAAGTTACGGTAGAGTAAAAGAGAAAGAGAATGAGGTAATGCGCTCAACATGCTTCATTCTCTCGCAATATTATTTGATCATAGTTTATAGTAATTATGAAGATAAATTATATTCACGTTTATTTGTTTCTGTTGATGACTTAAAAGACCGGATTAAAATAAATTGTTTAAACGTAAATAGTATTCATCTTGTTGTGATGATGAAGGGATAAAAAATAGATCACAAAGTATTTGTTATGTTATAGTGGAACGTTTGAACATTATTTTGAATAAAGCATATTTAAATCAAAAATTTTTAATATATCGAGAAATATTTTTCGAGCACTTTATCTTAAAACTTTTATACACAGAATATTCAGAAGAATCTGTTTATGCAAAGAAAAAGTAATTCTATTAAAAGAAAAAGTGCAATTGAACTTTTCTGATATATCGTTACACTTAAGAAAAAAATGAGTCGATAGAAAAATATATCGTGTTAAGTCATTCAACTTTTGCCTTTCCCATTTCTGTCTATCTTCAACAGAACAGATGCTAGAATCCGACCCGGTTGTATAAACCATCTTTTAAGGCAAACATAATTTGAAAAAAAATTAATTTTTTCGTTAAATTGTTCCATAATGTAAAAATTAGTTGATATAGAATTAAGCGATAAATAAAAAAATTAATTTCTGAGTTTCAATTGATCTAAAATTGCTCTATTTGCTGATTTAGATCAATAATTAAATAATATTCTGATTTATATAAATTATTTCCAAAGGAATTCTAGAGATAGTTGTCAGATTGTTATCTGAGAAAAATGTAAATTATAATAAAATGAATTACTGCAAAATGCATGTAAACATGATAAAAAAGTATAATATAAAATAAATTTTCTGTTTACTAATTATGTAAAATACAGTTTAAAAAAGATTTTGAGTATAAAAACACTGTACTGTATTTTAATCATTGCATTAATATTTAACTATATTGACACTTTTATGTGTCTATTAAGTGATGAAACATTTGTTAAATGCCATCTTTGAATTTGTTAACATAATACTGATTATAAATTATCTTTTTATTGAATTTAATTCTGCATTTAAAATTTTGAAATTTTGTATTGTGAATACAATGTAATAATTTTAAATTTAATTAATAAATTTTATAAATTTTTATTCAGAAAATTTTAGAAATAGTTAATGTGAAATTAAAATTAAGATAAAATATAATTAAATTAATAACTTAATTTAAATGTGTTGTACGTATTAAATAATAAAAATTATTTGTATTATAAAATTGTATGCCAAATATTGTGTCATGCCAGTGAACTTTTTTGTTGTTTAATCACAGTGTTATTACTTACAATATTACATTATTGTATTATTAAGTACTTATATATTACTTATAATATATAACTTGCAATAATACTCTGTTGAAATTCTTGCTATTATTAATTTTACAATTACACAGACCGACATTTTTAGACTTTTTGTCTGCTGTTTGAATATAATATATCTTTTCGGTTGTATTTTTTCACGCTGAACACGAATCCGGCCACACAATTGCTTTATCACTTTAGGTTTTTGAGAAAAGTGAGGTTAAAGGTAACGTTTTTGTGTCAAAAGTGACGTTTTTTGGCATTTTTATGATTTTTTTGCTGGTAAAGTAAATTTTATTTTTTACTTTTGTTCACGCTATCTTAAAGTGCCAACTTTTACCTTTAAACTTGATTTTTTCTACATTTTGTACGATTTTTTTTTGCCGAGTTAACCTCTCCGCTATCAGGTGAAGAAATGTGTTAACCTCTCCGCTGTGCACTGATGCGATATCGCCCACCGCGGTGAGGTTAAAAGTGTCAAAATTAACGTTTTTTGGCATATGTCATCCGTGTGCCACACAGATACGTGACGTACGCTTCTGAGGTTGTGTGAGGCAGCGGAGCCGGGACCGCGGTGGGTGATATCGCATCACTGCTGCTGTGTTTGTATCAGTACAGCTAGCTTTTGCTCGTATAAAGTGCATTATACACAAAAGATTTAAAATGCCAGAATTTCATTTGGGGAAGCGAAATGTAATCCAAAAGTAAAAAAAACAGCTTATACCAAAGTTTATTGATATTCAAATATTTTTACAAATTTTGGTCCGCAATATTAGATCGACTATTTTGAATTTTGAAAATCTTATTTCAGATTCGGATTCAGCAATCTCAAAACTCTTCAAATTAAAAAATTATTATCCAGTTCTGAAATTTTGTTTTCCAAGTATATTTTTGGCATGAAATGTTCATCTTCGTCTGACCGTGATGAGGTTAACTCGGCAAAACAAAATCGTACGGAGTTTCAAAAAATCGAGTTTAAAGATAAAAGTTAGTACTTTAAGATAGTGTGAACAAAAATAAAAAATAAAATTTACTTTACGAGCGAAAAAATCATAAATTAAGCAAAAAATAATAAATATGCCAAAAAACGTCAATTTTGACACTTTTAACTTCATTTTTCTCAAAAACCTGACGTGATAGGGCAATTTCGTGGCAGATCTCGTGTTCTGCGTGAAAAAATACATCGGAAATGGTATATTATATTTAAACAGCAAAAACCATGTTGGCCAGTGTTATCAATTATTCTCATTAATTTTTCTTACTTTATTCCATAGAACGGCTTTGTTTGAATCGATTGATATAATGCGATGCATAGTATGCAAAAACGAGATTAAATCATTTAAAATGATGAAATGTCGACACAGTTTTTGTCCACAATGTTTCAAGAACCGGCTTAAGATATCGCATCAGAAAGGTATAGATATAATATTAAACCAGTGATGAACAACCTTTGTTCTGCAGTGTGCCAAAATTGAAAATCTAATATTCCATACACAGGCCGCAATATTAAATACTTAAATATATTAATTTTAAAAATTTATTTATAGGATGAAATTCGTTATTTTCAACAATAAACTTATTTTTTAATTTGATTTACTTTTTATTAGTAATACTTTTATATATATATACGGGTGTCTCAGACTTATCGAATAACCGGTTCAGGGTAGACTCCTGACGTTGTTCTGAGACGAAAGTTCCTTTGGCAAAATGTCGAGGGTGTCGTAATTTCGGCGTTATGAAGGGTAAAAGTTCCTTAATCGATACACTGAATTTTCCCGCGCTCAGGGACATCCCACATCAAAGGAGCCCCGTGCATCGCGCAACGATTGACTCGATGGAGCGCGTTCCTCGCGATTGTTAACGCATTCACTGTTCACTGTTTCACAGTATTCCAC